GGAAAAAAGTTGAGGCAGCGCAAATGCCATGTTCGGTGTCCGGCGCGGCTGCGTCTCACACTTTTTCCTCCGCAATGAGCTGGCGCACCGCTATAGGCATTCCGGTGGGGGGCCCGACTGCCTTCAGTTTCGCCAGGGCCCGTTCGAGCTCCTCAAAGGGGTCGTCACTTACCGCGGAGAGGACGCTCTTCAAATACCCAAGGTCCGTCGCCAGCTGCTCGACCGCCGCCGCCGCCTTTTTGGGTGCGTCAGGCTGGCCGCTGGGGAAATAAATTGTTATGTTGCCCACCTTGCTCTCGATAAAGTCGGCCACCGCGGCGCGCACAATGTCGTCCAGCCAGGGCTCCGCTACCTCTTCCAACAATTCCTCAATGCCGTCGAGGCGGGCGTCGTCGTCCCCGCGCAGCGCCTCCAGCGCGAGTGGGATCTCAACAATGGCCTCGCCGAGTGCCCGAACGAGTTCGCTTGGTGCGATTTGGGCCGGGGTATACGGCACTGGCGGTGAAACTGCCGCGCGGCCAACGTCCTCAGACCGCTTTGATCCCCAAAACGCCTGTGTGTCGTACCCCTCCGCTTTGGCAATGACGGGCTCAATTATGCTACGCTTCAGCGCCTGTTGGCACTCCGCGGCGCATGTGTCGAGCGCATCCGTGAGCGGTGCCCAGAACTGGGTGCGTAGCTGGTTTTCCACGGCATCCGCCACGCTCGGGTACAGCCGCTGGAGCTCAGGCGAGGCGAGGTAGTCGGTGATCGCCTTCTGCGAGTTTAGCAGCAGCTGCCGCACCACCGTGCGCGCCGCAGAAAGACGTTCGAGCAGCCCTCCCTGCGGCATACGCGGTGCCGGCCGGAGGTGAGAAATGGCCTCAAGTATGGATTCCCGCCACTTCCCAACGCACATAGGGAGTGTCTTATCAGGAAAGAAGCGCACAATACTTTTTACCGCATCCAAAACGACATCCATCACCGCTCGAAAGCGTTCGGGGAACATAATGCAATTGGGGTCTTTTACAAGGGCTTCAACGCGGCAAGCCTCACGCTGCACGAACGAATCCAACGTCTTTGTTTGACTAAACAGTTGCATTATATCCGATAGGACATAGGCGGAAATCTGTTTCGCAATCTTCTCCCGCAGAGACGCATAGTGGCTACTGCTGGTAGTAGTGTCGCAGCCTGTTTCATCCCAGACCTTGAGCTGCCGCACCGCGTCGCAACACGCGACCAACTCCTGGTTGTGTTCCACCCGGTCTAGCACAGGCCCCAGCGCCTCCGCAATGCCGCCGCTCACCTCCCCCACCATCAACTGCAGCACCTTCATCGTGCGCGCCTCCGCCTCGTGTGGCTTCCACGTTCTGAGCGCCTCAAGGCAGCTGAGGTCGTCGGCCTCCATCATACGCAGTAGGTAATCCAGCTGGCCTGCGAGGGCGTAGCCAATGGAGGGCATCAGCTGCCCTTTTAGCACTTCAGCAGCTCGGGCAGGGGACATCGCGTTAGATGCCATGTCGCCACCTCGCAGGAGCTGTACCACCCGCTCCTTCTCACTCGCCATGCTTTCCACCGCGTATTGATGCAGAACAGCATCGGCACGGCCAATGGTATCAAGCACCTTCAGCAGCTGTGCCGCACGCTCCACTTCACGCCGCCGCAGCTTCTCCATGCACTCCACCTCAACGGTGTGCTGCACGACCTGTTCATACCGTTCAACGGTCTCCAACTGCTTCTCACCGAAAGTCACCTCTAACTTCTGGAGGTCCGCGAGATTACGGCGAACCTGGCTAATGGCCTCTGCCACAGCATCCATGTTAACTTCCGCCGGGGTGATGCGCAGCTGCTGCATGACATCGTCAAGTTGCTTCATGCTGGTGTCCACTTGCGAGGCCTTTCGAAGCATATCAGCACATCTAGTGAGTTTTTCCTGTGTCTTCTTAAAAGCGTTCAACTGCGCTACATACGGCTTCGCAGCAGTCTCCACCGCTGGCTGCACAACCTCTTGCATCGTCTGCAGCTGCTGCTGCAACTGCTGGGCTTCAGTAGCCATGCGGCCAACCTCCAGCCCTGTCCGCGGCAACCGTACGAGCGCCTGCGTGATGGTATCCTCTACCGAACCCGCCACTTCCTGTGAGTATCCCTGCAGCCGGTTAAGGAGCTTCGTGACGCGCGCCTCCACCTCTGCGTCGCTCTCTTCTGCTTCACCCTCTGGCGGCGCGAGTTCATGTAGTGAGGCATTGATCCAACGCTTGATGTCGACATGCTCGCTGGCGAGCTGCTCGAGCCGAATCTCCTTTGTTCCTCGAATAGGAGTGGCTCGTTCAGCAGCAGCGTTTCCAGATCCACTGTCCAACGACGGCGAGCCCACAATGCCATTCATAGTGACTCTTTGTTCGAATAATCAACAGCACTAAATAAACAGAACCTAATAGACTAAATAAAAACAAAGCAATCAGAAAAACAAAATGGAGCAAGTTCTTCAGAGGTATACATATACATATCAAGGGGAAAAAACGAAAAAAAAAAAAACGACCAAACGCAGGATAGGTGACGGAATTTTGCCTCAGTGGGAGCCACGCTCTTCGCCAATGGACGGTGCGAATAACACCACCCGCCGTTGTCGCTCTCAGGCTTCAAATATATGTCTGATGCTGTCGTCTCTATTACCTCTGTTCTTCTGATATACCGAAGAGGGACAGGAGCCACACAATCAGAGAACTACATACAAGATGTCTATTCTTCTCTGAACTGCCGAATCCATTCAGTGGGCTAGCCCCCCACCCCCAATTCAGCACCGTTGCTCTCCCAACCCACCATTGGCTTACGAAAGGGCAACTTTTGGGTCTCCCACACCCCCCAGACCCCGCCGTGTGGCGGGAAATAGGGGGGCGCGGGTGCGACGGCAAAGCCAAAAATTCCACTGGACCCTTCTCGAAAGCTTCCAATTAGAGAGAACGATAATGAGAGAAAACCCTCTTTCTCCCCCCCCCACACACACACACACAGACACACAAAAATTAGTTAGACAACACTTGGACACACATTCTTTTCCGAAACCACTTATAGAAGAAACAAACACAAAAAAACAGGTCAGAAAACCATCCTAGCAAATGAAAGACTTCATTCCCCACACACGCAACGTGGCCAGCACGCGGCTGCGGTGAAGGTTGAAGATGGGATTCACCGGCTGCAGTCGCTCCTGGCTCTGGTGGTTGCCTGTGTCACTCTTGCACGCGAGCACAACACCGTAGCCGTTCCGCTCACCAGGAATGTAGCCGCGACGAAGTGCAGTGGCATACAAGAACTCACCGTCGACAGGGCCGTGCGGCATGTACTGCAAGTTCTGTGCAGAACTCATGCCAGAGAGGGCGTAGCACGTGTGGTAGGCATCGTTAGGGCACAACGGCTTGTCCATAAGCCCACCCTTCTCCGTATCCTGGCAACAGGAGAGTACATACAGCAGCAGGCGCCGCTGATTGAAGTAAAAGTCCCCAACCTCTACATCAAAAAATGACGGAGACATAGATGTCATTGGTGCTGTTGCTGCTGAGGAGGAAGAGGTGGAGTTAAGATATGCCTCCACGCGTGCTGTCCGCTGCTGTTGTACCTCCTCCGTCTTTTGCCATACCTCATCATCCGCTGGGCGTATGCTGCTCACATCGATGAGCTGTGCGTGGTCGAGCAGGAGGGTCTCGACCGCCGTCAGGCACCGCGGCCTGTTTGCCTGTGTGAAAAGCTGCGCGTAGACTTCTCCCACGCGCAGCAGTACGTGACTCGCCCCCACCCAGTGCGAGTAGCACGAGTCAACCAGTTTATTTGTCCGCCCATTAAAGCCTCCCTCAAACTTGAGCTGACGCACTGCCAACCACCGCCGTAGAGCGGTGTAGTTGCAAAGATGCGAGTGCCGCATAAGCACCAGTGCAGCCAGCCCACACTGNGTGTACGCTCCGTGTGCCTCTGATGCGCCTTGCCCACACGCAAAGCCGCCTTCATGCGTTTGGCACGACGCCACAAACGCCGCAGTCTGTGGTGTCAGGACGGTTTCGTCGCGTCCATCTGTGTAGGCCGTCACGTCACCGAGCTGCAGCAGCACCACCATCACCGCCACGCAGTACGACGCGCGAATGTCGGCCTCACCGCCAACATGCATGCGGAAACTTCCATCGTCGCAGCGCAGCGACAACAGCCAACGCTTAATGGCAGCACGTGGAAGGGCGCGGAGGTACGCTGGCCTCGCTAGAATGCAGAGCGAACACACCGCCGCGTACGATGCCGCCAGGTGCGGGATCTGCGCGCAACGCCCACCCGCAAAGCCCACCACACGCTCACCGTCGTCCTCGTCCGCGCCAGGCAACGGGCAGGGTCGCTGCTGCAACGTCACCGTTTTTTTTGTCCCATCACTCGCACTACTCATGTCTTCGTCATGGCTATTACCGTTATTATTTCGGCTATTGTCGTTGTTTTGCTTCTTCCTCTGACTACTGCCATTGTCCACCTCCTGCAGACACGCGAGGAGAAATTCACCCAATGCATCCGGCGAGACATACTCGTACAGCTCATCGGTGATGTCGAGGACATCTNCCTGCAGACACGCGAGGAGAAATTCACCCAATGCATCCGGCGAGACATACTCGTACAGCTCATCGGTGATGTCGAGGACATCTGCGGCCTGCAGCGTCCAATACGCGAGCCACGGCTGCGCACTGTAGAGGCCTTGCGTCGACTCTGCCAAGCACAAAAGGCGGCTGTGCACGTAACTCTCGTGCAGCGCCCTGTGCAGGTGGGCCCCACCACTATCGCCATCCATCACTCCCTCCTCGCTCTTTATCTTCTCCTCCACATTAACATTATCGTGTTGGGCGTCCGGGTGTGTGCCCCAGAGTGCGTTCACCTGCGGGTGGTACTTGCGCAGAAACCGCAGCAGACTCAGCTCCACCTCTCGCTGATCTGACGTTGTCTGCGTCGGCGCGGGAAAAGCCATGTGTAAGAATCCCGTTCCAGAGCAGTCGCTGGTGCGGTATATTATTTATAACTGTGTTTTGATGCCTTTTGCTTGTATCTCCACCTTCCAACCAGCGTTTCCTCTAGAATGACGGAATAGACAGACAATGAAAAAGCGAATAGCGTGAGACAACACAACCGAAGAAACATACAATAATAATAATAATAATAATAATAATAAAGCAGATCGAACTGGGCGTCCCATTCGAAGGGCATTACTCTCCCACTTTACAAGGCAAAGTAAAAACTATCCTATCACTCTACGATGGCCCGGAGGCGGGTGGCTTCACCGCGAGCTCCTGTTCATGCCACTCCTTCCCTTGCTGCTGCTGCTGCTGCTGCTGCTGCACGTTGGAGGAAGACGGCCAGTACGAGGACACATGCGAGGAGGCAATCGTGACATCTGTTCCGCCCCACCGGACTTCGCGTCCCCTTCCATCCACCACATCGTCGAACTCCCGACCTAATTCCCTATGATTTCTACTGTCCACTTGCTGCTCCTGCTGCTCTTGCTGTGGAGCCGCTGCAGCCATCGTGCGCCGTACGAGTTCCGATCGCTCCTTTTCCTGGCTGCGGTCTCGGAGACAGCGGCAGACGAGGATGCCACACAAAAGAATCATGACGAACATCACAAAGAAGATACCAATAACCGTCTTTACCACGCTGTTCGCCATCACCACCCGCACAAAGGTGAGATGCTCCTCATCCGGTACGTAGAGAGCGGGGTCTGTGCCCTGCGTGAAGGGGCCAGCCGCCGCCCCCAGCGAAGAGTAGTCGAGTTTTCCCACTTCAGGCGAATTCTCGACCGCCACGCCGTACCGCACGAGTGTGTGGCTTGCCGTCGTTGTGATCGTCCCGCCAAAGCGGCAGTAGGAGTCCTCATTCACAGTGAGGTTGTCCCAGTTGCAGTACTCCAGCAGCTCTAGCTGTGATGCATCTTCAAACACCTCACTCGGCAGAGTGCCGAGAATTTCCAGCATTTTGCTGAGGAACGTATCGACCGAGAAGTCCGTCATCGGGCCTGTAAATATAAGCACATAGAGTTGCGGGATGATGTTTGACACCATCTTATCGTTATCAAGTTCCAGGGCGTACACTGCTGCCGTTGAACACCACCCCAGCAGCAAAAGAAGCAACAAGAGCGAACCCCACGCGGAGCGAGAGCGTCTTCTCATTTCTTTCCCTGACATTCACCCTACTCTAATATATGGGACAGTATTACTTGGCCATACACATGGAAAACAAAAAGGGGGGAAATGCGTGGATGCTTTTGGACCCACAATGAACAGGTAACGAGACACCCACCAGTCTAAAATCCTCATATGCATCAGTTGCCCTTCGTATGCCATTTTTCACAAAGGGGGTAGATATAAAACCACGCACAATACCGATCAGGCACACCGTCGATTCCGCATACGGTTGCGCCGCCGCACCGATATAAAAAGAGCCACCAACAACATCGGCGGCAAGAGAATAACCCACATAGAGACGTCCCTCGTTTCCCCGCGGGCAACGCCGCCTGCCTCCAGCCGCACCAGGCAATCTTGCAGGGGTGCACCGTCCTCGGAGTCCCAGGACGCGAAACGGAAGAGCTCCTTCCCAGACGTACCCATCACACTATGTGTGAATCGGTCCCCTTTTTTGCAGTGCAGCATGAGGCCGTACTCCACGGAGTGAAAGATGCTCTCTTTCTGAGCCCAGCTCTTGTACTTCAGTGTGTAGTGCAGCCCAAGTCCCGCACCGCCGCCGCTATTTGCGTAATACTGAAATCCCTTCTTCGATACCTGCAAGTAGTGGTTGTCGGCGTTGATGTAAAGCGATGCACACGACTTGGCCATCAACGGGATCAACCATGACTGTAGCCACTCATAGTTCATGTGTGGTCCATTCGCCAGTACCGGGTAGTGCCCCACCACAACTTTGTACGGCACCGCCGCAAACTCATGCAGGAGCCAATCCTCCACCACCCGCTTCTGCCTTCCACCGTCCCAGCAGTCGCCCACGCGCTCGCTGCAGCGATGCAGCAAAACGGTATCAATCACGACAACGACCATGTCCAAACTCACCTTCACCGCGTAGTAGGGGTACGGCATGTACCAGCGCCCAGAAACAGGTGCCTCTGGCGGAGAGTGGTGCGCCCACACTTCCGAATACGTTGCCTGATCCCTCACGGCGTACGTGTATTGCACCTGCGCCGACCAGTTGCCATAATAGTCATGGTTCCCAAGCGCCACAAGCCACGGCACACGCCGCACCCCCCCGCTTTGATTCCTGCCGCGGTAGAAGTCTTCAAAAGTGGTATAGAAACGATCATGCTGAACGTTCTTCACCCCATGCCGGTAAAAGTTATCTCCAGCAGCCACCACAAAGCGGATGCGTTCATCTCGCTTCGCCGGGTCTTGCTCAGCGGTCTCTATGAGCTCTGCTATAAGCGCTGCGACCTCACGCTGCTTCTCCGACTGCGGAGGCTTCCCACCCCAACAGCCATGCGAGATAAAACAAAAGTCCTTGCTTGCGCTATTTCCCGTGCTCTCACCGTCCACTGCTGTCGCTCCCCCCAGTCTTNAACAGCCATGCGAGATAAAACAAAAGTCCTTGCTTGCGCTATTTCCCGTGCTCTCACCGTCCACTGCTGTCGCTCCCCCCAGTCTTGCCATTTTCGGATTGTACGGCGCAAACAAAAGCTCTGCGAGAGGAATATTAGGCACCGCACCATCTACGGCAACTCCAAGGGAAATAAAAATAAAGCCCACAACAGAAACAATGCAATGAATCGTTAAACGCTGTCTATCATCACCTGATGTCATAACGCTGCGGACTGATAGTCAAATGAAATCAAGACAAAACAAAGCGGTTAAGAACTCTGGCGAAGCGCCTGACACTTGATGTATTTCAATGCAGCTTTTATCTTCTGCCTTTAAATATGATTGCGTGCAACTTTTCTCCTTTAATCCTAATGTAATGACTCCTCCGAAACCCGCACTACCTTCGCCTGCTAAGAAATAAAAAAAGGAACAATACAAGAGGAACCAAAGATACCATTGCGTGCACGGACGATTGTGCAAATACGAAGGCCGTTGTATTGCAGTACATCTCTAGGCCCCGGGGTGTGCTCACACTCCTGCTTCTTTATACAACAACAAAAAATGGGCTTTTCAGTAGCCGTGTGTCTGTGTGGCAGTTAAAGTCGCAGAAACGTACATATTCACAGATACGCCACGTCACATCACATCAGATACACACCTTAAAAGTGTCTCCCCCCCCTCTATTATTAACATTCGGCTCACAGAACGGACAATGAGCAACCCCAGTCGATGAATTACTTATAACAAAGTATTTACTTGAAACCTACAGGAAAAAAAAAACACACACCCACAACAACAAACAACGAGACATCAACAGAAGAATGGAGGAGAGATGTATTAGGCCCCCACTTCGCCATCTTTCTTTCTATCCCTCGTAACTTTCATCTTATGCTGAGGACGACGACTTCGCTCAAAGCGGTTCACATATAACATTATCCGCAGCGATTTCTCCAACTCGGAACAGAACAGATCGATTCCCACTAGTAAAGCGATACTCATATTCATGTCATGATTGATAGTGAACTCCTCCGGGCGAAGCATGAAACTCACATTGCGCGGCGCCGTGAGCTCATGACGTCCTGCCGCATGTTCGTCATCGTCTTCGGTCTCGTTGCTGTTGCCGTACGGTGGCTTCGTTATCTCCACATCCGGCGGGAAGAATGCTGCATCATCGCCAGCAGCCTGTTGCTGCCGCCCTCTTGTGTTGCCTTGGCGGAGTTGATTAGCTTTCCACCGAATTGCAGCCAAAATATTGCTGTAAGTCTCATTGAAGGCATCCCTGAGCTCACAGTTCACTTCCAGCAGGGCCGAGAAGTGATCCATTGCACCGTCTAATGCCCACTTGGTCGGCTGCTGCACCGCATCTACAAAGTCCTGCATGACGTAACGACTCTGTCGGTCGATGTTCCGCACCAGCGGCTTTATAGTCTCCAGAGCCTGGTGGAATTCCTCCTCAATGGGACTCACACGCTCCCGATGGATGCACAAAAGGCCCATCAGAATTATATCCAATGACGCAGTAATACGACGCAGCACCGGTGCGAACTCCTCCTGCTCGTGCACGGGGTACGGCATACCGCGAATGGTCGGTTCCGCAGCCACCGTCCGGATCTGCAGCGGCACCTGCTGCACGGTGGCCCACAAGCTACCACGGCGTTTCTGGACCTCGAGGAGGTATTCCATTACCCCGGTTCCCGGCGTGTCAAGTGGAGCCGACACGAGATGCATCAGATCACAAAAACTGTCTGAAAGACCCTTCATTGCACCAACCTCCGTGTTGTGCAGCACCTTAATGGGATCAACGGGGAATACGAACACAACTATGGCGTAGTACGTCATCACGGAGAAGCAGTTCGCTACCAGACGGGACAACGCTGTCAACGGCAAGCCAACAACATGCATTGACGTAGGAATCATCATTGCACAGTAAATGCCGCAGTGCAAGTAGGCTGGGAACGCGCGCAAAAATAATGATGCAAAAACGCCCGCAAGCCCCATGGCATACTTCTGCACCTCTGTGTTGTGGTGCATCTGCCCCACAAACGCAATAGATGTGGCGAACACGAGGCCAGCCACCCGCTGCACGCCACTCATCAATGACTCGCCAGCGGTTGGGAGGCCCACACCCATGAGGATCGCCATCCCAAAGTAATAGACGTTTTCAGTGTCGATGTAGAGTGTGTACGCACACGCCACAGTGTAGCCACAGGCGAGCTTTAACGCATCCTTCACTAGCCGAACATCACGCGGTGTGGCCAGTGTGAGACGCTTCGGCAGTTCACTCCAGAAGTCGTTCCAATGGTCCAGGAAGAAGAACTCGAAAACGCGGCGCAAACTCGACTTGTACCGCTTGCGATCAAAGTTTCGCATGAGCTCGGCATACTTGAGCAGCTCCTCACTCAGCAGCACCATCATGAGATGGAAAAACACGAAGTGGATGTACCGCACAGGGTCCATGGGAACACGGCTGGATGTCATCGTGTCGAAGTGCAGCGAGTCGATGGCGGCCTGCAGGTGTGACGTGGCCGTCTGAAGATCATCGAACCGCACTGTTTCCACCACCTCATGTGGGCTCAAGACGCTTCCCAGGTTCTTCAGTGTGGTTTCTAGGGCGCCCAGATAATCATTCAGAGGACCTTCCAGACGCACCCGAGACGCATCTACAGCAGAACTCATGCCGTTTTTTACCCCCTCCCCTTGGGGCCGTGGCGTCTTTCCTGAATTCAGTGCACGGGCCGCGTACGCCATGGCGTGCAACATGGGCATTAGTTTTCGCAGCACCTCAAGACGTTCCCTCCGCAGCTGCAACCGCAGTGACGACACCCACGGCTCATACATAACAAAGAACAGCTGACCAGGGACAGTGACGAACGTATTATGCAGCGGCTCTGTGTTCAGCATTCGAAGTGCTGCCGCAATCTCAATGGGGTCCTGTGCCCAGCAGGCTTTGGCGGCGTTGCGCACCATCTCACCCACGTACACCCACGACTTGGCCATCGCTTCATCAGCCCGGCTAGTCATCGTGAAGGGTGGCAGAACCACCTGCACCAGGGCGAATGCAGAAGCAAAAAGCATGTCGCGAGCCACTAGGAGGGGGAGGAAGGGATTATTCGCAGAGTTCATCCGCTCCACCTCCATAATAAGCGTTGTCATTAGTATGGCGAAGCGCCGGCAACGCAGGTCCCCGAAAAGTGCTACAAAAAAGCAGCCAAAAAACATAGCGGACCACCACGCAGAAGGGTACGCCAAAGTGTTGAAGATCCGCATCAGCATCCCCCACGTCATTCCCCAGACAACCGTTTGAAGGGTGGTAATCAGCGAGGCAATCTGCTCACCCACCGTCACCTGCGAGAAGACAATGCCATACAAGCCTAGGACAATGTACATTGGGAAGATGTTTTGGAACCTGTCTGAGATGATCATCAAAGGAAGAACCACAACCATTGTGATGCGCAGCGATAGAAGTGCGGAAATACGAAAATTGGGTGACATGACGATATACCAATACGATGCGAGGCTAATCGTGTCATCCGTGATGTCCTCTCGTACCTGAAGCTTCGACATCTCTGGCGCTGTATCAGGCTCATTCGCCCAATACTTCTTCCCACCGCCCTGCTGCGACAAACGGTTCTCCGCTATGCGGCGCCAGTCTATGTCTTCCATCTCCTTCCCGCCCCCCACCGCTTCCCTCCCCCTTTTTTTGTGTATGTGTGTGTGTGCTCTGAAACACCCTTGGTGAAACAATATCGTGGAATTCTTTTCTGTTTACGAGTGCGCAGAGACAACGGAATGAGATGGAGTAGCAGCCGAAGTGAGCAATTCCAAAGAGTCCACAGACAGATCAGTGCAAATTAACAAAAAATAAAGAACACAAGCATAGGAGGATGGGGCTGGAGATGAGGCGGCGCGGGATGCTACTACTGGGAGGCCAGCCACCTCCCATGGTGGCCATACTCCTCCCACTCCTTATGGAGTCTTGCTTCCAGCTCTTGCCACGCCCGCTCCTGCGTCAGCGCGACTTGTTTGCGCTCCACCCTCTCTACACTCGTGCATATATGGATGGCGATATCATTGTTACTGTCGATTCTGACCAGCTTTCCTTGTTGCTGCTGCCGCGACGGCGGTGTTGAGGGGGCCGGTGAGGCCGCCACCGAGTGATTCCTCTGGTGCTCAGTGACGCCCCC